GTAGTGTCGGCGCCGTCGAGGGCACCATTCCCTTCTATAAGCTGGACTCTCGGCACCGGCAGCTAAACAAAGCCAAACACATACTGCAAACCGGGGAACAGGAGGCCTACCGGTTCACGTTCGACGTGACCCATACGCCGCCCGCCCTTATAGTAAGCCCGGTGCTCGTGACCGATGAGGGCTGGTATAGGTGTCGGGTTGACTATAAGACACGTCGCACTCAGAGTTTTAGCACATATTTGGAGGTTATAGGTATATACTTTATTACCTAGCTATTTTATTTTACTAATTAAACTAACAATATTATATTATTAGTTTTAAACTGTAAACTTATAATTTAAAGTTTTATTATAATTTATATAATTATTGTTGTTTATATAAATGGAGTAGAATAGGCATCGCTTGTCATAATATTTTAAATCAATATCAAGTTACTTGTTACTAATTTTTATTTTTGAATATTATAATTTTTAAGCAAGTTGAATTATGCATAAAATATTCATAATTGTAAATATTTGTATTTCAAGGACCACCACATGATATAAAAATAATGGATAAAAATGGCACTCAATTAGAGGGACTTATCGGACCTTTTGATGAGTTTGCAAATATTGTGCTCATGTGTGAGGCCAGGGATGGTAAGTTGTTTTTTCATAAAACAATCTTGATAATTAACAAACCAATTAAATACCTTGCTCACAAATACAAATATCCATACAATATATTTTGAACACCCTAGTTTAGATTTTGTACCATGTTTTTAATGAATTTAAAATAAAATATAATACAGACTGTCAACAAATTTTTAAGCAAACTATAGACATATAAATAATTTTGTAGAGGATTTTTAATACACGTCTTATGTTATAGTTAATAATTTGAACACCCTATTTTTGATTAGTCTAATTGCAAATAAATTATTACTATTAGTATACCAATAATACAGGACATACAGTATTATAATAGTATCATGTTTTTAATGAATTTAAAATAAAATAATACTGACTGTCATCAAATTTTTAAGCAAACTTTATACATATAAATAATTTGGTAGAATAGTTTTATTTGGTAAAATTAATGTTGTGTAACAGTTAATAATTTAAACAAGGTATTTTTTATTTATCTAATTACAAATTAATTATTACTATTACTATAACAATAATACAATATCTAGTATAATAGTATCATTATAAATTCTAATTTTTAATTGTGCATATACATTATAATTTAATTTAAAATTATTTTCAACACATTTCTTAAACCCTAATAACTTTAATAGGAAACCCAAGTCCGGCCCTAATCTGGTATCACATAACCAACGCACTGGAAGTCATAATAGACAACACGTACGACACGAACCGCACCGGTATTACCACTAATGAGCTCCACTTACGGCAATTGGATCGACACGACTACCGGACACGTCTAACATGTCGTGCCTCTAGTAATGGTTTATATGAACCGCTCGAGCGCTCCGTTACTATTGATATGAACCGTAAGTTTAGAACAAAATAGGGGGTCATTCACTAAATACATAAGCATGAGGTAGGGGGAAAGGGATCCAACTAAACTTATGATACACATGTCAAATGTCTACGTTGAAAATGAGTAAAAACAATATTTATTTATTTTTTTGTACGTATTTATTGAATAACCTGTAATGAAATTAACTTGCATAACGGGCCATTAAATAAGTGCGTACGCAAGACCACAACAATGTCCATGAACTTTTTAAATCCCTACATACAGTGGTAAATACAATATGTTTGCATGTTATGACCACCACTTGCGTACGTACTTATTGAATGGTCCCTACAAATAATATCTTTTTTTATGGACAGTAAAGCCATTGAGCGTTAAAATCGTAACGCAATTAACGAAACCCTTAATCGCCGGCCGGTTAGCGGAGTTCCGGTGCCGGACACAGGGCTCGAGTCCGACCGCACAGATATACTGGCGAATAGGGGAACAGGAGTTGGATTACGACCCGGAGCTCAGTAGTACTGTTTATAGCGGCGATGAGGGGAACGGTAGCACAGAGTCGGTGGTGGCGTTTATGCCGAACCACACGCACAACGACCGGCAACTGATATGTTTGGCTCGCAATCGGCTTATAGTGAACTCAACCATTGAGGACATGGTGTGGCTAACTGTCCACTGTATGTGTAATATTTGTTTTTAATATTTTCAAAATAATGAATTATTTATATTTATTAGATATTATTATATTTTAAATAATACATAACTACTGTACAGTATCAAGATCATTTTTATTTAATTATTTAATTTTTGCAAACTAATGCTGTTAATTATTAATGATGCTTTAATAATTTGAATAAATAATTAATTTATATTTAATTTTCAAAATGTATGCTACAGTTCCTCCCATAATAAACATATCGCTGGAGACTAACCACCACTCGAGCGGTCATACCGTCGAAGGAGACTATATTCGTGTGAAGTGTGGAGTGTTTGCCAACCCATGGATTGCGTCCATTGAATGGGCGCTCAATGGGCAACGGCTTAGGGCACCGGTGCTCACGGATATGAATCAGACACTAGTGTTGGATGACATACACCGACAGCACAGCGGGTCGTATCAGTGCACCGCAGGGAATGGTATCGCGCGGACTACAAGTGAAGTACTGGTGCTTACTGTTTATTGTAAGTTTTGCAAACTGTAATCAATAATCCATTAATTATATATCGGCTTATTAAAATTAAAATTATTTTATAAATCGGCATTAAGTGTAAAGTACTACTGTATATAAAAGATAAAATCAAAATTATTAATTAGTCCACATTTTTACAGAGCATTTAATCTGAAATTCAAAATTATTTTTGGCACATACAACCTTAAATTATTATACCATTGTATACATAACTGTAACAAATTATTAACGAACAATGAATATAATTTTATAATGTTAGAAATTTTTTTCGTCTACGCTTAATAATTTATTTTGAATTTTAATATCTCTATTTATCTATTAATTCTGTCTTTATATCTCAATCTAATTATTTTTGTCAGACCCTCCCGTATGCCGGTTAGGGCAACAAATATATTACAATGTGGTCCGCAATCGGGTCAACACTATTCGCTGTTCAGTGGACACCAAACCAGTGGACAGTAGTCTCAGATTCAAGTGGTTTGTCAACATATCGACCGAAATGTTTGAGTTGAAGGGCACGGATGTGGACCGAGTGGACGGGGATCTGACCACTAGTTTAGCCAAATATACTCCGAAAACAATTATGAATTATGCGATCATTTTATGTTTGGCTGAAAATAGCGTCGGTATTCAACGAGAGCCCTGTGTTTACTACCTGTCCATTCAAAATGGTTTGTGATTTTAAATGCAAATTATTTTTTATAATTGTTTTATAACTAAATCTAACAAACTAACATTAATCTATAATTTTAGCATGCTTATTTTGATAATAATTAAAAATTAAAATTCCAAGGAACATCCAAGTTCTAAGTTTATATAACATTTTAATTTAAGTTTCTGTAAATTAATTTAAACTTTTATAGTTTATATTTTATTGATACCAAAATTATTAGTCATTATTAAACATTGTAGACTCAAGTGGACCAGGTGTAAATTTTAAAAATTAAAATAAACGTTTAAATAAATTAAATTATACTTTTACAGCATTTACAAAAATTAGCCATTTGTTCATTAAATAACATCCGAATATTTATACTAGACTATTTTAAATCTAACAGTACTTATATAAAATTTAATTTTTACAGTATTATAAATACATATAATTTATATTTTTACCTAGTTTTCATCAACAAATACTAAAACTTAAATTTAGCAAATAATAAGCTATATTGTTCACAAACCTATTATTTATACTAGATTACTTTCTAACTATTAGAATTTATATTTATTTAATTTTGACAGTATTATTAATATCACAAAATGTGTAGCAAGTTTTCTTCAAAAATCCTAAAAGGCTTTAATCTCTTATTTAAATTGACTTTTTATACTGATTTCAGGTCCACCGGAATCCGTACGTAATTGTGAGGTAACCCCCAAATCGCATACAAAAGTGTTGGTCGACTGTATGGCCGGCAATAGTGGGGGTCTTCGGGCGACCCATCACTTAGAGGTCTATCACTCACTCACCGAACAATTGATCGCTAATTATAGCTCACTTCAGCCCAAATTCATCGTCGATTCCCTCACCCCTCACGTCGACTACAATCTTGTGGTCTATTCAGCCAACCAGAAGGGTAACAGTGCGGCCCTCACCTACCCGTCCGTACGGCTACCGGTGCTCGAGTCGCGAAGTAATTTCAAAACACAAAAAGGTATGTCATGTTGTTTATATCACTTGGTTAGTAATAATACTAACTTATTATTTAAAGTTTAGTAAATAATAAAATTATATACTAGGCTAAACTGTAATTTTAGATTTTATTAAAATTATAGCTACATAGAAATTGTATTATGTAACATATTGGGTTATACTGTATATAAAGAGATCTCTTTTTTTATTATAAAATTAACAAATTAAATTATAGAAATTGTTTTTACTAATGTAGCCTTGAAAGTTTTTTTTAAATTATTTTTCTAAACATGAATCTTTTTATTTTTCAATTATTTTTTCTATTTAATTGTAGATCTAATTTTACTAGAAATATTAAGTGAATAATATATAACATATTAAAAATTTAACTATAAAAATTATAATTCATAAATACTTAACTATAAAAATTAATTAAACTGTAATCTTAAACTTTTAAAATGAGCAGAATATTTATGATGTTTAATTTTCAGAATATTGGCAACAAATTCCTATCTGATTTAATTTTAAAATATATTTATAATTAAAAATACTTTTTATTATATTTCGCAGACATAAACCCATTGATGAATAGTTTGATAGGAATTGTCGTATCGATAGTCATATTCACGATATGTGTTGCGATTGTCGTCAAAATCAGACAATTTATATACGAAGACGAGTATAAGGTTTGCGATCAATACGAGGAAAACAAACCCGATGGGGAACGGGAGGACAGGGATGACTCAGAGAGAATGTATGTCTACCACATACACATTATAACTTGAATTTTAACCAACATTTTCATATTTAGAGAAAACAGTGAACAGCATAATTTGATGTCAGAGCACCGGGAGGTTGATGTAGATAATGGTGTGATAGGTATGTATGAGTTTGTGGACAGTTATGTCTGTCTGTGATCTAACTGTCCGTACATTTGGTGAGCGTTTAGAACACAATGCGAGCGATGAATACAATGGGAGACAGAAGTCACGACTCAATCGATTGAAACGTTTGACGAATCGCTTGAAAGTCACGAAATGTAAGGCTTTGGAGACGACGAGCGTCGGGATGTATAGGAAAGTCGTGGACACAGAGGTATGGCTTTAGAGATACGATTAATAATTGAACAAAATGTAAATGATTTATTTTAATCGTATAATATTATTTACAAATTCTTAACTCAAGAATAATATTCGTTATATGAAACTGTAAATAATTAAATTAAAACTTTTAATAATTTTTTAATTTAAATTTCAAACTTTAATTGGAGAGAAGTCGTAACGATAAATTAAATTTTGCAATGTTGATTAAATATAATTAGATATTAATAAGAATATTAGTTTACAATTTAATATGTACATTATATTTTAAGAACTAACTTACTTTGCCCGGGATATATAAATTGTATTATAAATTATTTAATATATTTTTAAAATCTATTTATAGCCCAAAAAGATCGTCACTTTCGCCACATTTGAGGAGTTTTTCGATGAGATAAACGCCGAGACTAGTAGTGGACAGGGAGGTGAACCATACGAGGAACGGGCTATTGATGTGCCAATGGATACGACTACTGTTCCCATTAAAGACTGCACTCAACACACAATACCTGTCCCACGATTTGAATGTTACTGCTGTTCAGCGCCCGCACAGACATTGCAATCCCATACCCATGATATACAGCCAACTACAGTGCCACCCGACCCACAGACTACTAGTTCAGAGATACCGGTGCCTGACGTACAGGACAGTAGTGTCCGAAGTGTGAAACGAAAGGCAATTCACACGAGACGACAGTATTTCCGGAAATCATTTTTTCGCAAAACTTTATAAACTTTTTTTTCGCAAATTCAATGAAAACATTCATTCATAAAAAATAACATGATCAATTTTTAAAAATTTTTCATTAAAATGTTTTATTGTAAAAATATTATATAATTTTTTTATATTCTGTATATTATTATGTTTGTGTTTTTGGAAACGTGTTATTTTATAAATTAGTTATGAAAATAATTTGTAACCTATATAATTATTATACTGTTCATTAGTAATGTTATTTTATTAAAGGTATACTACAATGTTTTCTATTTAAATAAGTTTTATAAATTTATTTTTTATGACAAATAATAAAATAGATACTATTATACAGTATTAAATAATGTATTTTTATTATTATTCAAGCAATGTAAAACAATAACAAATTGATTTCCATAGTTACTAAAAATAATATTCATTACTACGAAAATTAATTAATATTTCATATCAGCTTTAATGACATTAATTGTATCAATACAACTTTTACATATTAATTAACTTTAAACAGAATTTATGAATTATATCTAATGGGTGCAATAACTTATTAATTACAAACACAATACTTTTCGCAGTAATAGTAGTTAAAATAAATAACAAGGTTAAATAATTTTAATTATTTAAAAATTACTTGCTTAATTTTACATTTAGAGCTAAAATATAGTTTTAGGTGTATATTAATTATATTATTATTTATGCGATACTTGTTGTTAATATAACTGCGAAACAAATTAATTTTTTGTTTAATATTAAAATTCACACAAAATTGTTGAATAAATTGAGTGAAGGCTATGATAGAGAAGCCAAACCATAGGCTTATAATACTCGCCG